GGTGTATAGCAAAACATTTTTTTTTATCGTCAAAAGCATACTATCATTAATTCAATAAATCGTTAGCCAGATGGCTAGAAATACAACTCGGAACCTGTAAATAGTCAACAGACTGATCTGAGATGTGAACATGTGACTTTGCCAGAGCATGAGCCACATGATTCGCAGACCTTCTACAAATAGAGATTTTATAAGAACTCTTTGTTTCTATCAGACTACGAATATCATTAATAATAAGATGAGCATAGGATAATCCCTCTTTCTTTTGCAGACTCTGAACCACCCTGAGAGCATCGTTGCATCAGTCTCTATCTCTACTCGCTGCCAGCCAGCATCAATAGCCCCCAAAATAGCATCCCGAACTTCCATAGCCTTCGTCTCCTCAGCCGACCACCCTGCCTTGTGACTCACCCCACGGCCCTTCAAGAAGGAACCCCTTTCATCCCGAGCCACCCATCCCCAAGCTCTAATCCCTCCTTGATGATTTACTGCGGCATCAACATTGATCTTGATGCCTCCTTGACTCGGTCTCGCCCGTCGTCTCAACTCTTCCCCTTCCGGTAGCTTATTGCTAGAGTCTTTCCTGCCATGTATTTCCTACCAAGCTCCCAACATGTTATCCGCCACTCGAATCACCGTCTCGGCCTCCTCCATTTTATCCTTCCAAACAACTCCATTCCTTCTCTTCCACAAACTCCACAAAACAGCCACAAATCTGCTACCTAACTTCCTATTTTCCTGTGCAATATTGTCCCGTAGCCAGCTCTCAAAATCCTTCACCTGTGTCTCGGTTTGTATACCCACAAACTGCCAGGCAGCCTCGGCTTTGGGGCAGCTGCGCAACGCGTGCTCAGCGCTTTCTTCATCGAAACCGCAACTTTTACACCCTCCAACTATAGCCACACCCCTCCTTTTTAGATTCTCCACTGTTGGAAGTGTGCCATCCAGTACCTGCCACACAAAATATTTATGTTTTGGAGGGATCTTCAACTCCCATAAAATCTTCCAACCCTGCCAAGCTCCTTGTAAAACGTCGCCCATCAGAGATCTATAACAGCTTTTGACAGAAAAAATCTCATTCTTCTCCCCCATCCACCAATAGTCGTCCGTTCAGTCAGTCAAACTAATAGGGATACTTAAAATTTTCTCCCTATCATCCGGATTAAAAATACTACAAATCCTCTCATGATTCCACCTCTTCCCAGTCTCGTCCCGAAGGGCCGCCACATTCATATCGCGGACATAAGCCGGTTTTCCTGAAGTAATTCTCCCAGTCTCTGTTCCAGGGAGCCATGCATCTGCCCAAACCTAGACCTCAATACCATTCCCCACTCTTCTTCTGGTATTATTCTTTATTATTTCTTGGGTCTCAAAAATACTCCGCCAGATAAAAGAAGGGTTACTTCCCAACTTAGCCTGTAGAAAAGTCGAGTGTGGGTAATACCTGGCTCGAAGAACACGACTCATAAGGCTCCCGGTATCTTTCACCAGTCGCCACCCCTGTTTAGCAAGCATAGCTAAATTAAACTCTCGTAACCTCCTGAAATCGAGTCCCCCTGCATCCTTTGGCTTGCACAAAGCTTCCCACTTTCTCCATCTTAATCCTTTCTGATCAAATTTAGAGCCTTTCCACCAGAAACCATTCATTAATTTTTCAATTTCATCACACAGATCCTTGGGCAATAGGAAAACATTCATGGCATAAGTAGGCATAGCCTGGATAACATTACGAAGTAAAACTGCTCTACCGGCTCGTGACAAAAAGCGATTGGTCAAACTTTTGATTCGGTTAAAAATACGTTCCTTCAGATACCCCAAAATAACAGATTTATTTCGCCCAACTAAAGCCGGTAATCCCAAATAGTGGCTAAGTCCACTTTCTCGGGGTATGCCCAGCTGGTTGCTACAAAGCTCCCTGAAGGACTTTCCCACATTTTGACTGAAAGCTGGAGTGGATTTGCTAAAATTAACCATCTGACCCGACAGTTCTTCATATTTTAAAAGAATTCTTTTGATGATATCACACTCCACATTAGAAGCTTTAAAGAATAAAAACTGTCATCAGCAAAAAATAAATGTGATACCCGGGGGGCACCACGACAGACCGCAACTCCATGTATTTCTCCTCTTCCTTCGGCTTTCTTCAGCATTGAGCTCAATCCTTCTGCAACAAGGATAAATAAATAAATAAGGAGATAATGGATCTCCTTGTCGCAACCCTCAGCTCTCTCTGGAATAATAGGCCCCAAAAAATCTTTATCAAACTGGACGTAGTAGGTAACTGTGGTAACACATAACATAATAATGTCCACCCACCTTGCATTGAAACCCATATGTAGCATAATCTTTCTAAGGTAATCCCAACTGACTCTGTCATAGGCCTTGCTCATATCTAACTTCAACGCCACATACCCATCCTTACCTGTATTCTTCCTCTTCAAGTAATGTTGGGTTTCAAACGCTACAATAATATTGTTCACTATAATATTGTATAGCAAAACAATTAAAAAAAGGAAAAAAAAATTCCGTGTAGACGTACAGGTAAAAATATATAAAAGAACCATATATGGTTATGTACTTAATTATGTATAGGCTAGCAGGAGCAATAAAATTAGAAAAGAGAAAAACTAACGCCTGAGGGATTCGAAGTTCGAACCACGTATCTCTCGCTAGCAAGAGAGTTCTAAAAAGAATGGAACCTATTATACCATAACATTAATTAAATAATCACATTAAGTATTTTGTATATATGTACATTATCGGTCAGTTTTATATAAAAAATACTTCTTATATAATACGGAGTATTTTTGGCACAACTAGCTGAAAAGATACTTTTGTGAGCTTTTTAATAACTGTTAGCTTTTAGTGACTGAAAAGATCTTAAAAAGAAAAGGTGGTAGCTGTTTGGTAAAAAGCTGACTATTTCATTTAGTTCGGTTTGGTATACAATCTGTTTAGACTAATTAGTACTAAGGGTATGTTCGGCACAACTAGCTGAAAAGATACTTTTGTGAGCTTTTTAATAACTGTTAGCTTTTAGTATTGAAAAGATCTTACAAAGAAAAAGTGCTAGATGTTCGGTAAAAAGCTGAGTGTTTGATTTAGTTCGGTTTGGTATACAAGCTGTTAGGACCAATTAATATTAAAAGTCACGGGCTTTTTTCAGATGCTACTCCCTATAGCATCTCAAAAAAGATCTTTTAATTTTTGAAAAGCTCTTAAAAATTGTCATGCCAAACATATAACTAGAAGCTTTTAGAGACTTTTTTAACGGTATAAAAGCTAGAAGGCAGGGACTTATGCCTACCAAACATAGCCTAAAAGTCACGGGCTTTTCACAGATGCTACTCCCCGTAGCATCTCAAAAAAGATCTTTTAGTTTTTGAAAAGCTCTTAAAAATTGTCACACCAAACATACAACTAGAAGGTTTTAGAGACTTTTTGAACAGTACAAAAGTTAGAAGGCATGGACTTATGTCTGCCAAACATAGCCTACATATAGGGTTTATTAGAAGTCTTTGGGGTCCCGAGGTCCCGTGTGATACAAACTGGGTTAGCCACTGGCCTAAGTTACAGAAACTTAGGGCCCATTTGGTAGCAAGAAAATTGACTAATTTGGTTGTTTATGCTAAAATTTATGAAATTCTGGTTGCAGTGGCTACATTGGCTGATTCTGCTGATTTAAGAAAAAAAATTAAATTATATTTTATTAATAAGATAAAGAAAAAAATTATATGTAAAAATAACTAAAATGATCATCTACAGTAACTTCAGTCAATACAGCCAGAAAAGTTACCACAACCTTACTTTTTCTGCTTATTACACAATTCAGCGCGTAAAAACAAAAGTTACGTGTTTGGTGAAAAAGTTGACCGATAAGCCCGATAAGTCGAAAAACAGTGGTTCCAAACGGCCTCTTAATGATATACTCATTTACATTTGAGAGTAGGTGCATCCATCAGAGCTCTGCCTTAATCAAAGGATAAAGTTGATGATTAACGACATGTCAATTATAGTCCACACTTGGCCCATATTATTTGGCGGGATTTAGAGCATCTCCAATGGTTGTTTCTAGGGACTTGCTTGCGATTTTGAAGCTATTAGCCCACCATTGAAGTGCATCTTTGTTTCTGGCTTGGACAAGCAAATTAGCCAAAACAAGCTAATTGCTAGAAATGAGAAAAACTTGAATTAAAATTGTAAGTATCAAATATATTTAATTTATTTTTAATTGATATATTATATTAATTAATTATGTAACGGTAAAGTGAGTAATACAACGATCAACTTCCAAATTAAAAATGATTTCAATCTCTTCCTCTTAATTATATATACCGAATGGTTTTAAAAGTTAGTTTAACAATATTTTATCCTACTCCCCCACTACTCTTATTTTTTTCATACATAAAAATTTAGTGTACTCTTCAAATGGAGGACTATAAAAACCTATACAACAAGTATTACTCCATTCTGAAAAACTCTTCAAGCACCGAAAATCCAAACTTTCAAAATTTCACCTCACATATATCAACCCCAATAATTCCTACAGTCCAGCCAATTTTCCAAAATTTTCATCCAAGAAGAGATGCCAATCAATATCATCGACATCGTTATGATACAAATTTTTCATTTCCACCAAATAAAGGAATGCATGATCATCCTGGATATTATAATCCCCATATCCTTATTTTTTTTACTTAACAAATACATTTTCTTTTTCTGATTTTAGTAATATGCATTTTCATCCGTGTTGGGCGTTGGATTAACGTTTGGTCAAAGTCATAGTTGATTAATATTTATAATATATTAATAAATCAATTCACTCAAAATGTGTATTATTAAAATTGATTAATTTGTGGGGCCTATTCAAGAGACAAGCATTGTGACTAACCACTGGACTATCACATTGCTTGAAAATGGATTAGCTAGAAAAAATGATGTGGCAAACAAAGCTACAACATGTTTAGCTAACCATCGGAGATGGTCTTAATATTTCACGATTTTTCACGCGGAAGTAATGAGTAATCCATTATAGAAATAAAATCACTTCTTATGGTTTATAAAAACAGCAAAATACATCAAGTTTTCCCGACACCACCATACGTATATATTTATTGCTCATCATACATAGGTCTCATGGGTATAACATACGTATAAAATACAAGTAACAAATAGGAAAATGCAAAGATCACAACTCACAAATAAAATCACAATTAGCTTAGCTTCTTTTCTTAAAGAAAACCTTTGCAAACTCGACCAAATTATCAGTTGAAGGTAAGACATCTCTAACAGCTTCATTAACGGCAAAATCATCAATCCAATGGAACAAATTGGGAAATTTGATTTCATCAAACAATTTAACATTGTTAAACACCTCAATGACTTTGAACCAACCTACGAAACTTCCAAGAACAATGTCTAGGAATCCAATCTTGTCTCCGCCAAAGAATTTCCCGCCTTTGCTGCAATTCTTGATGACATCCTCCAAGGGAAACACCGCTTCGACAAGATTGTCTATTGCCTCTTTTTCTACTCCCTCGTCCGCCGCAGCTGATAATGCCCGTAACATCGGAAATATCTAAACCATAATAGAATAATTTAAGACGTCTCACATTGGTCAAATATAAAAATACAAACTAGAATACAAATGTGGTTGCAAAAATCATTTTATCAAATATATTATACATTAGCAAAAAGAAGACCGTTAAGACCTGAAATTTGATTGTAAAAGTTCAACATGATAGAAGGAATAGTTCAAAGTCTTATATAGCGGTTTAATTATTATTTTATAGTTTTCCTGTGTGTGATAAATACATTAACAAAGACACCTAGACACATACCTTATCATCAATATAAACCGCCCAAAAGCGGTTCATGGCCCGATCATACGGATCACTTGGGAAGAAGGAGGTATCAGAAGTATTCCAGACATCATCGATATACTGAACGATGACGAGCGATTCACATATCGGTTTATCATTGTGGACGAGGACGGGTATTTTCTTGTAAATGGGGTTTAGTTGAAGAAGAAGCTCACTTCTAGGTGGCTGTAATTGCACCTCAACAAATTCATAATCTACGGATTTAAGTTTAAGAGGGAGTTTGATACGAAGCACATAAGGGCTCCACCATGTTCCCAACAGCTTAACCTGGTCAGATGCCATGACGATGATCGATGGGATTCAAAATGGTCTTAATATTGAACAGAGGAGGAAAAATTAAGCTTAGAAATCTGAGGTGTTTGTGTGTGTATTTAAGCACACCCAAACATGAGAGATCAGGCAAGAACACAAGGACACTGACATCACTGCATACGCATTTTGAAAGAATGAAAGTCAACGTTTTAGTGCCAACTTTCAAAATTGACTGACTATTTTTTAAAGGCAAAATTCATTGAATTAATTGACACAAAAAGTTCAAATAGTCTGACACTTGAAAATAAGAGAGAATTATTATTAGGATATTTTATAACTAGATAGATGTGATTTAGTCTAGAGCCCGTTTGGTAGAAGGAAAATCGGCTGGTTTGGCTGATTCTGCTGAAATTTCTGAAGTTCTGGCTGGAGTGGCTGCATTGGCTGATTCTGCTGATTTAAGAAAAAAATATTTTTAAAATATATTTTATTAATAAAATAAAGAAAAAATTATATGTAAAAATAGCTAAAATGGTCATCTACAATAACTTCAGCCAATACAGCCAGAAAAGTAACTCCAACCTTACTTTTTCTGCTTATTACACAATTCAGCGCGCTAAAGCAAAAATTACGTGTTTGGTGGAAAAGTTGGCTGATAAGCCTGATAAGCCGAAAAAAGGTGTTACCAAACGGCACCCTAATGTGGTATAATATGTTTAAGTCTGGTCTGATCTGAAATTGAAAACAGGCCAAGTAAAAACATCCTTATACAAATTGGAGTAAAACACGTTCAATTTCAAAAGTAAAGTGAGGGTTTAAAATTTACTAAAGAAGATTTATTATTTATGTTTGGTCAAAAATATGATTGTAAGAATTGGAGTATTGCCCTCGCTGGATCACTTGATCGCCGCCGTTGCCTACCTGAAATTCACCGCTGCGGGCCATCGGACTACCACTACCGCCAGACTGCCTTAGTCATGTTGGAGAACTAGCTTAGAGGGTAATTTATAATTATTTATATCAAGGGTAGAAATGTGATATAAAATGTGAATAGAACTATGTTTTAGTCTCATTTAGTGCAATTTTCTAGGGGTGGGCAAAAATACCGAACCGGCATGGTACCGAACCGGACCGGTATGATACCGGACCGATAAACGGGGTTTGAAACGGGTCTCAAATTTTTTTGTCCCGAACCGGACCGTACCGATTCCAAACAATGCCATGACGGGTTCTCATAAAATGAGAACCGGTACCGGACCGAACCGGACCGAAGTATGCTTAAATTATTTAAATTTGTACTATTAATTATAGTTTATCTAAAATTTATTAATTACCTCACACGTTCTAAATTGATTTGCAAAGTTAACATGTTTGGTCAATGTTAATGTCAAGTCCTCCCAATAATAATTAATAATCCGTACAATTTTTAGTAATTAAAATACCACATATTTAGAAATCACATTAAAATATATTTAAAGTTGCAAAATCCAAATTAGTATATAGGAAGTACTTTTTTCTGAAATGCCAAATTAGAATATAATTAAAAAGTGATATCGTAATTAAATGAACAAAAAGAAACTGTTTGATTAAAAAAGATTGACTTTGCAAATCATTTTGGAACGGGGGTAGTATGAAATATGAAAAATTGTTAAATTGTGTGGATTTTTGGAGGATGCCTAAACTTTAATTTTTCCTTGAACACTTGGAAAAGGTGGCATTATTTGGCATTGGTATGGCATGGTACCGTTCTGTTTGAAAATGGACCGTACCGAACGGGTTTAGGTCTAAGACCGAACCGAACCGAACCGTTTCAATAGTAACGGTACGGGTACGGGTTCAGACAAATATTGGACCAGACCGGACCGTGCCCACCCCTACAATTTTCTCTAAAGTTCCTCCCTCTATATTTTCGTAAATGGCAAATTAGGTATTTAGGAATGATTAAGAAAGATAAAATTCCCTAAATGGGATTAAAAGGAGTACAAAGTTCATATGTCGGATTATCAGATTATGAAATAGGACTCATTTACTCACATTTTGGGATGTTATAATTTAACGTATTCTTTCAATAAGATTAAATAAGTCATATTTGAAGAATGAGATATTTTAATCCAATTTTTGAACATTTTCTATATTTTGGTCCTATGTTGAGAAACTTCTATTCTTAATTCTATTTTTTAACATTGTCTATGCCTAAAGAAAGAATAAACAAAATGAGTTTTTCTCTCTCCAGGGTTATCGGCCGATAACCCTTAGTTAGTTTTGTTCGCCTTCGATCATATCGAAGGGCGAGTTTTATTGGTTGCTTAGGGCGGTGCTGTCTGGAGGTTAGGGCGGTGCTATTTTGGAGGGTTCGGATTGGTGGAGAGGGCAGTGGTTTTGGTTTTATAGCCAGACTATTCGGGAGCTTCGGGAAGGTACGAAGACTTCAGATTGCCGATTGATAGCAGTAGCAGGGTCTGCGGCAGAGGTTTTACAAAAGGCTTATGGAAAGTGTTGTTGATCGTTACAAGCATATGGCAATAGGTGACAACGAAGAGGAGTTGAATCTCGATGAAGGGGAGATTGAAGGAAGTCCGGCGGAAGAGGCGGCGATCGGTTTTCCAGTGATCGGCCAGGTGTTGACTGACCGCAAGGTCAAGTTCCCTAATCTCAAAGAGACGATGCTTATGCTTTGGAGGTCGGGGAAAGGTATAACGGTGAAAGAAATCAGTGAAAAAAGGTAGCTGTTTTCGTTTAATCATCGTTTTGATATGAAGTGTGTGCTTGATGGAGGTCCTTGGCAGTTTGAACGCAGTCTGGTAATGTTAAAAGAAGTAATGCCTGATGATATCCCACACAAAATTATATTAAACGAGACTGAGTTTTGGGTCCATATTCATAATGTTCCCTACAGTCTTGTTAATCTGGGTACTGCCAGGCGTGTGGGAAATTTCATAGGGGAATTTGTTAAATATGATGATAACCAAAAGAAGGATAGATTAGAGCCATTTTTGAGGGTTAGGATTCTCTCGAAGATGGATAAATCGCTGAAGAAGGGGACAAATCTGAAAAAAGATGGTAAAAGTTTTTGGGTAGACTCTGTCCGGTCGTCGCGATTTGGGGCGGTTCTCGGTGGAATTTTTTGATGAAATTTTTTGAGCATCTTATTCATCAAGTCTAGTTTACTTATACCAAATTTCATCTAAAAATTTAATCGGGAGCGCATTCAAATTAATTCGAGAACGCAAAAATGCGCAGTTATCTTCAAGAATTAATTTGAATGTGTTCCCGATTGAATTTTTAGCTGAAATTTGGTATGAGTAAACTAGACTTGGTGAATAAGATGCTCAAAAAATTTCATCAAAAAATTCCACCGGGAACTGCCCCAAATCGCGACGGCCAGACAGAATCTCCTATAGAAGGACTTAATTGATCTTTTTATGAAAGTTCGAGGGCCTATTTGACAGTTTTCCCTTTTAAATATGAAAGATTACCCAACTGTTTCTTCATCTGTGGTTTGATTGGACATTCAGATAATTTTTGTCCCTTAAATTATGAAGAAGGCTTAGTCTTAAAAAAGGTTTGGATCCCAACTTAGAGCAGGAAGCGGGGTGAAGACGAGCCCGACAGGAGGGCATAATTGGCTCTTGGAGGGTTCATCGAGCTCTGGCAGAATGGGTGGCGGTCCAGAGGCATCCAAGTCAGATGGAAAGATTGTAGAAAAGGAGAAAGTGTCAATGACTGGATCAGCCCAAAGTTATACACAAGGAGGGGAGGAGCCAAAAGAAGAGGTTTCTAAGAGGAGGAAGATCTGGGAAACTCAGACAAAGAGGGGCCAAGTGGAGGACACCATGGCTATGGATGGGGCAAAAAACGGGGAGGAGGCAGGCTTTGTTCCATAAGCCCGCCGAAGATGCTGGTTGAAGGTTGGAGGTCGCAAGTCAGAGGGATGGTTCGAGTGTTCTGGCTGAGACAGGAGTGTTTTTTATTTTGCTTTGTTTGCGACTTTATTAATGTTTGCTTTTGTTATGGGTTTTGTTTCGTCAATTATTTTGCAGTTTGTAAGACGTTGAGTTTGGATATGGGGGATGAGATCGGAGGAATATGGGGACCGTTTTTGGCTTTTTGTTTCCCAGTTATGGATCAGCAAATTTTATTGCTACGACGATTAATTCCGAGTCTGGTTCGAGGGATAACGGTTGTCAGATTTGGGGGGTGTTTGGAACTGATTCTGCTTCTGCTTCTTTTTTAAAGCAGAAGCAGAATCAGAATCAGTTTTCAGAAGCTGGTACCTACCAGCTTCTAAAAAAACTGATTCTAAGAGTAAATTGTAGCACCAGAAGTGCTTCTGGAATTTCAGCCAAACACTCCAGCTTCTGCTTCTGCTTCCTGAAGGAGCAGAATCAGTTTTGAGAATCAGATCCAAACACCCCCTTGTTTTTGTCATTTGACCTACACTCTGAAATATTGGTTATTAATATAAGTCGAATTCTTCCAAAAAAAACATTGTCTATGCCTATATATTTTTTCCTACTTCTTTCACTTTTAAATTTTAGATTTCCCTCTTCTCTTCCCTGTATTTTCTACTTGTCCTTATATTTTATAGAAAAAATGACATGAATAATTACTACTCCGTACTCCCTAATAGAATTCTACAAAGGTAAAAAATATGACCATATGTAAACGAAAAAAGTGACTGGACATGAAATGATGTACTCCGTATAGAGTTTCCCCATATATTTATTTATATTTGAAACTCTAGCTAGTTTAATAGCAACAAAAATTTAACAGAAAATTAAATCCGACTAAAGTCTAAAACCAATTAAGCCATCAATGATTCGGTACAGTTTAAACTTTTGGGTTAAAAAACCGCTCGAATTGAAATCGACCAAAACATGTTAAAACTGGCCGAAACCAACACAAACCAATCGAAACTGAGTCAAGTTGTGCAGTCCGATTCTCGGTTTTACATCTTCTTAAATCGACCGACTACAACCAATATAAAAGAAAAATCGAAACTAACGAAATCGAACCGACGAACACCGCTTGGCGTATGGAAATAAACTCCTCTTCTTAATCACAAGATGACAATTGATCGTCTTCTTTGGTCACTCCTATGCAATGAACACCACAAATGATTCAGTGGCAATGGCTCCCACACGAGGCACAACGATGACCAGAGGTCCATAACCCTCCTCCTATGATGGTTACATTACGATTATTATGAGATGCCAACCGGCCAGTAGCTAGTAACCATTATTGACCATCTCGTCTAATTAGGATTGTGTTGGTCATTGTAATGGATTTGTTGAGTGGTTACCATTATTGATTATAATCAAACAGAGTTTTTTAAAACTGCAAATTAAAAGTAAAAAAAGGCTGATACAATGTTTACCAAACAACTTTCGAACCCAAAGGGGGGCAAATGCCCCCCCCCCCCCTTCTTTCCAATTTTTTTTCCTAGGTATATGTACTTGTCCTGAAATTTTTAATACATATGTACTTGCTTATATTGTGTCGGTCCCTTCGTATCCAATAAAATGGCATGTAACAAATTGAGATGGACATATATGGGATTACAAAATCCATCTAGTTAGGCTGAGATCTTTTGTTGGACCCTTTAATCAACTCAACCAACTTCTCAGTTGAAGGCATGACATTAATAACAGCATCATCAATAGCAAAGTCCTCAATCCACTTGGACAATCTGGAAAACCTTGTATCATCAAACAACTTAATGTCATTAAATGTCTCAATGACCTTGAACCAACCTACAAAGCTCCCTAGAGCAATGTCCAGATATCCAATCCTATCTCCACCAAAAAACTTCCCTCCTTTGCTGCAACTCTTGAAGACATCCTCCAAGGGAGCTAGCAATTCAACAAGATCGTCTATTACCTCTTTCTTGACGGCTTTGTCTCCCACAGATGATACTTCAAGTAAAACTGGAAGTACCTACACAAAATTCAAATATCACGATACAAACTACAGATGTTTTAAACAGGAGTAAAAACAATGTCATATTTCAAAGTAAAGTTTTCCCCTAAATAAAAGTAAAAACTATTGTATGCAAATTATGGCACTGGTGTCATACTAATGAAAAAATGTGTAATATGATTTCAAGATGACAATAATTTTCGGAGACAGTCTCTCTATGCTTTAGTATAGAGGTAAGGTTTCATACATCCGACTCCATCTACCCTACCGTAGGTGGGAGCCTTTGCGGCACTAGGGTATGTTGTTGTTGTATTGTGAAACTACAATACTGAAATTTTGAAATATGGGATTGTTTTTACTTCTATTTAAGGAAAATTGACTATAAACTAACATGTAGGGTTTTAGACCATATTCCCAAAAAACATATACCTTATCATCAATATAAAAAGACCAGAATTTTGTCACTGCCCTATCATAAGGATCACATGGGAAGATGGATGGCCCAGAAGTAACCCAAACATCATCAATATACTGAACAATAATGGGAGATTCTGAGATAGGATTGTCATTGTGAATGAGGACAGGAACTTTCTTGTAAATAGGGTTTAGTTTAAGAAGAAGTTCACTCTTAGGATATAATTTCTCCTCAATAAATTCATAGTTGAGTGACTTGAGGTTAAGAGCTACTTGTACACGAAGCACATAAGGGCTCCACTTTGTTCCCAATAACTTAAAGTCGTCCGATGCCATGAAGGTTAACGATCGAATCCAAAAAAAAATCTAAATTGAACAGAGAGAGAATATGAAAAGCAAGCTAAGCTTGAAAAAATTGAAGTGTTTGTGTATATTTAATATGTATATTATTTATAGATTTATAGACAACATTGAAGTGCTTACATTCTTGGTAAGCTAGTCAACATTTTTGTGCCAATTGTATCAAATATTCAAATGCTTAACTGACTTCTTCAATATATACCAAAGTAAAAGGACATAAAATGTCACACTGAAAGGGATGTGATCTGAAGCTGGCTTTGTTTGGCGAGTGATCTAAATGTATCAAATGCGGGAGACTTTGAAATGCATTATAATTACTCCCCCATCTCATATAAAGTTCTCACTTTCCTTTTAAGGACGTCTCATATATAAGTTCTCATTTCTATTTTAGAAAACAATTAACACTTTTAAATGATAATTTAATCATTAAATATTAAAATAGTACATTTATAACATCACAGTTATTACCACTGACCCAATTATCATATATCTATCAAAATTATTTCTCAAAATATACTCAAATTATCTTATTTAATGACTGTCTAAATAATCGTGTCATTTTGTCATGGAAACCTTTAAACAGGACAGAGGAAGTACTTCATAATTAAGGAAAAGACTCAACGCTAGTTTAGTGTGGACTCAAGTTGTATTTAAATATTAAATGGACTTTTTGATGGAATAATATTTTGTGTTGACTTTTTTCTTATACTCTTACCACAAAAGGTAAAAAGGGGTAAAATCAAAAGATTAGGTAAATGACCAGGGGTGAAATGGGGGGTATAACTGTTTGTACCATAAAAATATTACTTTTTCTGGAAGTGCACACTTTAATATTGGATTTTTTTTAAAAGAAAAATGAAAACTATGCAGCATTAATAATAAAATTTGAGGAATATTTTCTGTCAGTATCTGGCCTATGTCGAATATGGCGCATATAGATCATCAAACACACAAAATAATGAAGATTATATGATTAAGTAGAACTGAGGTGGTTATTTGAGTAGTAGATGAGGAGGTTGTGTGATTTATTAAGAAAAGTGGGTTCTCATCTACCTCCGTCCACTAACATTTGGACATAAGGAAGTAGTGTGATTATTAAGAAAAGTGCATTTATGTGATTGATATTGATAAAAGCATGGCAGCCAAGTCGAAGAATCGTGCAACTCCACACGAGCAAATAACATTCAAGATACTTCTTCAGGAAGGATTAATCACAGGTACATAACCTAGTATAGTGTTTCGTTTCGTTTACGAGACACCTCTCTATTGCTTCATCAAATAGCTCAAAAACCCTATCGATCTCTCCTTCCTCAAAAGTCATATCTGCAAATAAACAGTATTGTTGAGGTTTATTCCTTCAACCCTTGGACCCAACACGTAAGCCCAAAGATTTCGAGTGGAGTAAGTGTAAGGATATCTAGCCCAACAACTATGAGATGGATCAGGAAACAAAAGTAATAGCAGGCAATGTAAATAGGTATTATTAACTTCGTAATAACTCCCCTAAGTACAATCTACTTGCTAAAAAGGGCACGTCGGCCGTTCGTCTTACAAGGCAGTAGAGATGCTGCTAGTAAGAATACAATAGCCAGAATGCTAAGAATAGAAAGTTGCCAACCCTTTACAATGAAATAAATGCTTCTATTTATACCCACCAATGGGCAGGTGGCTGTACTGACGTGGCAGCCTGTGGACCGCTGGTGTCCCAACTACCAAATCTTCAGCATTAAATGCACTTCCCGCCAGAATCTAGGTTTCCCGCCTGATTAGTGGGGACGTTCGTCCTCCCGGGAAGTGAGTTGGATTGCTCCAAGTGACCCTCGAAAGATATCGGCTGTTCGTCTCCTGGCCTTGTAGATATTCACCATGTGAACTGGGTCCCCTCCGATGACTACAGGCTCGCCCCGGGGACGTTCGTCGCCATCCCTGGTGGCCCGTGGTCCTGCTCCTTGTCCCCGTACAGCCGTTCGTCGGGATGAGTTTGCTGGGCCTGAGCCCCCAACATCAGACGTTCGTCCATCCTCAAGGGACATGGGCCTGTGGGATGGCCTGGTGTTCTAACTGGACGTGCGTCTGGCAATATGGGTTAGTGGGCCGGACCTCGGCTTGGGCCCTTAACCCAACACAAGTCCCCCACTTCTGATGTTCTGGGCTCGCGCAGGACATAAGGAAGTAGGAATCCCCTCAAGGTAGACGTTCGTGTCTTGATACTTTGTGTTTTCTGCACCCGTGGGAAGCGTACGCTCGTGGTCATGGTGCTTGACAGCTGTTGACGGTTCAGGGAACGAGGTGACGGCTGATGTTGCGGCGGTGCATTTTCCCGAGGAAGTGCCATCATTACGTTCCCATCCCACGCACAGCGCGTGGGCCGGAATACGCTCCTTGCCACGTGTCAGCTCCTCGTTGGTCTCCCCATCGGTACTTCTGCTATAAATGCCGGGTTTTCCCTCTGAATTAGGGTTCCCAATTTTTGCCCTCTTGCTTTCGACTTTTCGCAGCTCTTCAAGTCTTCTTCTCTCTTTCCGAATTCGGCTAACCCCCTTGTAAGGTAATTTTCCCCCTCTGCTTCTTTTCTTGTTCTGATTCCTAGCCGACATGACTTCGATGGAGATTTCGTCAAGTTCTGAATCCGGTTCGTCGGGTTCCTCCTCGGGCTCCTCTTCGGACAATGTGAGTGCGCGCTCCCCCGGAAGGGCCAGTATTTCCGGGACCTCTGGTTCGGCCACGACGGTGGGGTCCATCCGGGCTGATGGCGAGCCGGATGATGTGTCCCAAAGTAGTGGGAGCGACGCCGGGGACAGGGGCGCTGACGGGGCAGTAGATGTTATTGACGCAGTCCCCCTGAATGAGCGTCCTGCTGATTATGATTCTGGAGAGGAGGCCGAATCCGGTTCCGATATGGAGGTGTATGACCTGGGCATCCCTACGGATATGGAGCGCCACATCTGCCCGATCAGGAGCGCCCTTGACCATGACCAGGTCCTCTCCCGTGTGGCCCTCAACAAAATCCGCACCTTCTTCCCCCCGCCGTTCGTCTGGAGCGTGAGGGGCGCCGAGCACGTGATGAGGAGACGTCCAGGGATGATCATGCTTCACTTGGACTCCGTCGAAGCTGGGCTGCGGTTCCCCCTTCACGCATTTTATGTGGAGTTCTTCCACTGCTTCCAAGTGGCCCCGGCGCAATTCATGCCAAACTCCTATAGGTTCATATCGGCCTTCTTGGTGCGCTGCAAACTTGCGGGGGTCGAAGCCAGCCTGGATCTGTTCCACTATTTTTACCGGATCACTCCCCAGAACTCCGACGGGTATCTGAGCGTGGCCGCTCGTCCGGGGAGGAGGCTGTTTAAGAGCTACCCCTCCTCCATCCATGACTGGAAAAACCGGTTCTTCTTCCTTCGCCATGATGGTCCTCCCCTCCCAGTTCGTTGGAATGGCTATCCCCCGAAGATAGAGTCGCCGGAGTTGACCGACGATCTGAGTGAGGCCGTGGAAGGCATCCTTCAGGGCGGCATTCGCCCCATAGCTGGCTATCTGACCTTCGAGGCACTCTCGGGGGCAGGCATAGGTACCGCCCGTGTCCTTGGACTCCTTCCACCCTTCGACGCTCGTCTCGGGGCACCGGGCGGTCCTGTCCTTCGAGGTGAGTGTCCTTTTGCATTCTCTGTTCGTCTTCTAACCCTTAATCGTTCTCCTGCAGGTTCTCCGCCAGACAGAGCTCAGATGAATCACGCTGAGTGCCTGAAAACGAGGAAGGCCAAGGCGGCCGCTGCTAAAGCCGCACTGATGAAGGCCAAGAACGCCCCCGCATCGGATTCCAATTCTTCGGCCTCTGACGCTGCCCGACGAACGGCTGAGGGTGAGCAGCACTTGATTTCCACCGTGCTGGCTCAGGGTTCCGGAGCCCCTGCCCTTGAGGCTGCCCCTCCACCGCCGGTCGTCCCCACGAAGGCGGCTCCACAGAAGAAAACAGAGAAGGTCCCCGAGAAGAAGCAGAAAAGGGGCCGTGAGGCAGGCTCTACTGCCCCCCCCGCTTGAAGACGCCGGCTCCCTGCCTTTGAGCCGCCCGGCGGAGGAGCTTTGGAGGGAGATGGCCCTCAAGGCCGGTCTCGAGCTGCCCCGCCGTTCGTCGTCCGAGGCGACCAGCGCTGCCCTGGCCGCCGCTCTTCAGGTACCCCTTCTTTACCAGATCCGAGTACCTCTTTCCCTTGATGTTCATCTTCTGACCATCACCTTTATTTTTCTGTCTGTTACCCAGTCTGGGCTTCTAGTCCTTCAAGCTGAGGCCGCCAGGGAGGCTGACCTGAGGGAGGTCAAGTCTAAGGCCGACGCGGCCATTGCTACTGTAACACCCCGGCCCCACCGGACCCGAGGTAGTTACTCCGGACCAATAGTACTGTCCCCACAAACCACCACGAGCCTTTACCGCGCACTTTGTCCTCACTCATGCGCGCCCTGAGAAACTTCCCAGGGGGTCACCCATCCCAAGAGTACTCCCGAGTAAGCACGCTTAACTTTGGAGTTCTTAGGTAATGAGCTCCCTTAAAAGGAGATGCACCTCTGTTGGTATGAGTAGTACTATTAATCCATTTATATTAAATCTCAAGTGTTACAATCACCCCCACTTAGGATCGCAACGTCCTCGTTGCGCCCTTGAACCAATCTCAAATCTCAATCAAATCCCAGAATCTTCCCCCGCTAAGTGCCCGCCCGATATCCAACGGGTCATCACACTGTTGCGGGGTTGCTCTGATACCACCTGTAACACCCCGGCCCCACCGGACCCGAGGTAGTTACTCCGGACCAATAGTACTGTCCCCACAAACCACCACGAGCCTTTACCGCGCACTTTGTCCTCACTCATGCGCGCCCTGAGAAACTTCCCAGGGGGTCACCCATCCCAAGAGTACTCCCGAGTAAGCACGCTTAACTTTGGAGTTCTTAGGTAATGAGCTCCCTTAAAAGGAGATGCACCTCTGTTGGTATGAGTAGTACTATTAATCCATTTATATTAAATCTCAAGTGTTACAGCTACGGCCCGGGAGGTCGCTGCTACGGCC